GAAACTGAGAAACAAAAACCAAAATAAAAAATTAGCAACAGCCATTCTAAAGAGTCCAGTAATTTCAAGCAACTACATGACCGAGAGGCTTTTTGTCTCCAACTTTACTGAGTTGTGATTGACAAATATAAGTTGTTTGTATTTATTATGTACAATGTGATGTTTAGCTACATGCATACATTCTGAATGATTGCCACAGCAAATGAACATCCTATCACATTACAGAGTGTTGTGTGTGTGTGTGTGTGTACTGACAACACTTGAGATATATTTTTTCATAGCAAATTTCAAGTGTCGAGAACACTTTTATTAAATACATTAAGGTACTTTTGGAAAAAGATTTATATTTATGAATCACTCATACAAGACCTGGGGTGGAAGTCAGAGGTGCAGGGGGTGAGAGGATTCACCAGACAGAGTAGGGAGCAAAACAGGCAGATCCACTGAAATACACTGCTGTGGGGAGCAGCAAGCGGGACAGGAAAGGTCAGCTCTCTGGGCGGGGATCGAACTTATGCTGCAGTGGCTGGCGATTTATTGATGGTGCTGAGATTTTAACCCCTGTGCCACCAGGAAGGCCCACAGTTTTTGTTTTCTTGCTTTCTTTTTTTGACTTGGCTTCCACCTACAACTTTGGCTTCCTCAAGTTTCTTTGTGACTTCTCGGTCTCTTGTCAAATATCATTTTTGTCATAAGGTTAGATCACTGTAGGACTCAGTCCTTTGTTCTTTTTTTTTTTTTCTAAATCTCTCTCTCTCTCTTTCTCTCTCTCAGTGGTCCTTTCCACTCTCTTGCTCAAAATCCCATTTATATATCCAAACTTGCATCAGCTCTATATATCCTACCCAAACTTCCTCCTAAATCAGATTTAAATATCTTGACCTAGTGTCACTAGGATATGTCAAAGAAATTACAAACTTAAGACTCACAAAACTTAACTCCAGGTCTTGCTTGCAAACCTTCATATCATAGATCAGCTCATAGCAACACCATCCTCTCCTTTGTTTAGGCCAAAGTCCCTGGGAGTCATCTGACTCTCTCAAGTGACCCTCCAACTATTGGGGCATCCTGTTGGCTCAGCCTTCCAAAGACACCCAGAATCTATTCTCTTCCAGTCAGTGCAGGCTGCAATCCATTCTTTCTTGGATTATAGCAGTCGTCTTTAACTGATCTGTTTATACCTCTTTTTACCCTAAAGTCTGTTATCACCAAAGTCATCAGAGGGATTTTTTAAAAAGTTCTTCAAAGAACAGTTTCACAGCAAAATTGAGAGGCAGGTACAGAGATCCCCTGTATGTCTCTCCCTCCCTGCCCCTATTCAGGTTCTCTGATATCCAGCATTCCCCACCATAGTGATATATCTGTTCCACTTGATGAACCTAGACTTCCTCACTCAAAGTCCATAGTATAGATTATGGTTCACTCTTGGTGTACATCTTATGAGTTGAACCAAATGTATAAAGATTTATAGTCACCATTAGAGTGGTGGATAAATACAGTATCATACTGTCATGTAGTGTTTTCACTGCCCTAAAAGTCCACTGTACTCAATCTATTCATCCCTATCCCTCCAGGACCTAGAAAATTGTCTTTCACTGTCTCCATAGTTTTGCCTCTTGCTGATGTCATATTGTTGGAATCATGTAGCCTGTAATCAACTTCTACTTAATGTTAAATAATATTCCATGGTCTGTACACCACAGTGTATTCACCCACTGAGTGACTCCTGGTTCCCTCTAAATTTTGGCACTTAAGAACAGCTACAGTAAACACACTGGAGATTTTTGGTTTTAGTTTCTTTGGGTAGATAACAAGGAGCATGAATGTTGGATTGTATGGTAAGATTACATTTAATTTTCAGGAAACTTCCAAGTTGCTTTTAAAAATTATTTTAAAATGTTTATGATGCTCCTTTGTGCTAAATCTGCAATAAATAGTTTCATTTGCTGTAAAAGAAGTCCAGATGTGTACAAGTCTTTCATGATCTGTCCTCTCTAGTCTTTGTTTGACCGCCGCAGTGACCTTGGTTTACTTTTGCCTTTCCTTAAGTAAGGTAAATTTTTAAATAGACCCCAAGGGCCTTTACACAAACTGTTCTCTCTATCTCCCATTTTCCAACAGATAACTGCATGAATCACTCCTAATGCCATCTTTTTTTGCACCAATGAATGTTACGGTCTTTAAAATGTCAAGCTGCTTACCCCAATACTACAGTCTCTAGAAAAGAGGATAACATCTAGTTCTCTGGCCTTTTCTAAAGACTCAGGAATGCCTGAGCGTTTGATCCTTCCCACAACCCTCCTTGCAACAAAAACTCAGGCTTAGGACTATGTCTATAGTTCTTCCTAAGAATCACACTAAAGTCCTAGTAGCCAACTAGCCTCTGTGTGTATATGATGGCTGAGAATGATACTAGCGAGAGGGAACTGTGCTGGGGAATGAAGGGAACCCAATCCCGTTGCTCAACCAGCAAAGGTGGCAGGACCCAGGAAGTGGTCCTACCCACCCAATATCCTGTCACTGCTACATACTCCTGGGTGTGCAGTGATATGTGGGTGTTCTGAGACCTCTGTTCTGTAGTACGGTGTGTGCTCTTTTGCTGCCTTCCCTGTGAACCTTCTGGAAGCTCACTTGTAAACACTCTCCTACGTGTGATTGTCAACCTGAACCTAAGACCCCTGCTGCTGGAGGAGCAGATTTCTAGTCTTAATCCCTTTACCTCTCTCTGACCTTCTTTTCCATGTCAATCAACACTTTTTTACATACTGTAGAATCTACTTTTTATGTTTATTGATACGTTTCACCTTCCCTCACTAGAGGAGAAGCTTCTAGAGGGCAGAATTTTTTTGCTGCTGCTTTTTTTTTTTTTTAATGAATACTACCCATATCATCTAGCAAAAGGTCCTGGCACAAGCTAGGTGCCCAGTATATGTTCAGTGGATGAGTGAACACATTGTCTGTTTAGTGTTTCTTCAATGCTAAGTTTAAGACATGGTGAGGGGGAGTAACAGAATTTCTTCCATTGCATATATTTTGAACCTAGACCAAACTGTTGTTATTCAGTCTGGACACTTAGAGAGAGATCCTTCCCAGGAGGCTTCCCATGTCACAACACTGAAGAGGATCAAGGTTAGGTCTTATCACTGACAATATAGAAGAAAGCTTGCATTTAATCATATTTTAAAAACTTGTTTTTAAGTATTCATTTATTTATGCATACAGAATTAGGGGTACTGGCCAGAGGTGCAGGGGCAGTGAGAAGGTTCAACGGAGACAGTAGGGAGCAGAATAATCATATTTTTATACATGAGGGAAGCATACATTAGAATCTTTTGTTGTTCAATAGTCCAAAAAGAAGAAACCTCAAAATGAATCTTTTACATTACTCAATAATTTTGGTCCCGAGGATAGTTCTATAAAGATTTTGACTCCACTGTGCTGAGGTTGCTTTAGCAAAACTAAGCAGTATTAGCGCTAGAATAGATGACATTGTAAAGCAAATTAGAGGGCTTTAATTTAGTGAACAAGCTAATATCTACATTGGTAGCATTGTAGTCTTACAAATTTTAATCAACAGTAATCCTCATTTTGTTCAGTGTAATATGTTGTTAGCTTGCTGATATTAATCAAAAGTAATCATCTAGTTCTTTTTAATACCTAATAACTATGACAGATTTCTAGCTGTATGCACATGGACTTTGATGTAATTTTAAGATGGCACGGGTGAACATTAGCTTGTAAAAGAAATCTCACCTATCTGAAAATATCTTCAGGTCTCTGACATTTGGTCATGCTATTTATTTTTTCCTTAGCATATCTGTTGCTTCTTTGACTTCTCTGGCAAGCCCCACATTGTCCTTCAAAATCCAGCCAGAGTCACATTTTCTTGGCACTACCTTCTTGCCACAAATACTCCTCTTTAAGTTTAATTGATGAATTGCTTCCTCCTTCATGTCCCCAAAGTATTTAGCACGGGATATGGCTGATATTTATTTACCTGCCTGGGTTTGAGGGCAACTTCATCACTTTTGTTTCTCTGGTCACTGGTACGTGTCCCTGTCCCACAATATGTGCTCAATAAATAGCACTTGAATTGGAAGCATTAGGCTATTTTTGGGGGGTCACAGATTCATCCCATAAATGTTTATTAAGAATTTTTTTTAAGAAGCAAAACTATGTGTTATATACTATTAAGGATACTGGGGGAAAAAAGCCAAGATACTCAATTTCTTAATTACATAAAAACAGTGTTTTTAATAAGCAAAATTTTGTGTTATAAAGATACTGGGGAAAAAACGAAGATGCTCATTTTCATAAAATGCGGTATTTTTAAAAAGTCATGAATATAAGTAGCTGTAACACATAGCCCAAAGTGCCATTTTAAAGCCTGTCTATGCATGTGTGTGAACATGTGTTTGCCATCATTTTCTGCTTGGGTTCAGAAATGTCATCTTAGTTACTAAGGACATATTTCTCCTAATGATTAAAATACCATGAGTGATTCCCTTGATGTCTCCCAAATTAGGGTTAAATTCTGTTCTAGGTGTAAAATTCTCTCCCCTCTCTTTGCCTTGGTTGTTCCGCTGTCAGAGATGGTTGGATTACAGCATGGTTAGGGCTATGCAGCTACTTGCCAGACAATCCACATTTAGAGCAGAGAAAGTTTCTTCTGGTGCCTTAAGCTACAAATTTTATGCATTCCCTAGTTTTCAGAAAACACCCTAAGTGATAAATCCTTTACATGTTACCACAAGTTCATTCCTAATTGCCATTAGGAAATCGACTGAAAGCTTTTGGCCAAAATTAACAATAATGTCATTGAAATGAAAAACCCAAGTGGCATTTTAACTGAGACTTAAAGAAAAAAATTTTTTTTCATCAGTATAATGTGAGTGTGTGACATTTGGTTTAATGGCAACCCAGTGAAATGGAAAAAAAAAAATCAGGGATAAGTTGTGAATATTTTAATGATCACCAGAAATTCTTCTGTTTTTGTTTAGACTTGGATTATCACTTGCATTTATCTTCAATTGCTCCTATTTAATCTTCTCGCCAAAACGAAAGGGATCTGCGAGAATCGTGTGACTGATGATGTGAAAGACATTAAAAAATTGGTAAGTCAGGAAAACTTTAGTTGCTGGGGCTCCTTCTAGTGCCTTTTTACAAAAATGTTATTTATTTTTTTGTAGAAGAACTGGGGTGCAGGCCAGAGATGTGGCGGTTGGGGAGGGGGTGGAAAGATTCACCAGAGACAAAGCTGGAAGCAGAACAGGCAGATCTACTGAAAGACACTGCTGAGGGCCAGCAGGAGAGGTCTGCCATGTGGGTCAGCTCCTTGGCTGGGGATGGAACTTGTACTGCAGTGGCCATGGATAGCATCATAGTGCTGAGACTTAATCCCTTGTGCAGGAGGCCCCTGATGTGCATTTAACCTACACTTACTGTGTACAAGAGGTTTCACAGGTATGGTAATGCTGTATTGTGTGCTTTCATATTGAGCAGAGGGCAGAAAACATTTTTGTAAGTTCTTGGCTCAAAATACTCTGTTGATAACTGTTATTTTAGTTTTGACTAGAGAACAATTGATGGGAGATTAGAGAAGACATGAATATTGCACCTGGAGTTAAGAAAGAAAAATGTATTTGTTGAGATCCTAGTGTTGAGTAGGAGGGGCTGTATTCATCTTCTCTGTTCTTGTTTTATATTTCCTAATTTGTTTTATTTTGGGCGTACAGCCAGACTTTAAAACAGAATTTCAATATGATGGTCAGAAACTTGTTAGCTTAGTAGTCTCAATACAAAATTAAGAGGGCACACTTGCACACATGCCCACTCAAACACACAAATATGCATCCAGTTATGTAGAACTACATCTGAGGATGTAATAGCATGATTTAATTGAGGGGCTCACGTCTAAAGCAATGCATTTACCTGTGACAAGCGAGTTCGTCACAGGGATAGGAGTGACTGGGGAGATAATTTAAAAAAAAAACATAGCTCATGATCTTTTCCCTGAGTTTCTTACTAACTTAAGAGCCAATAAATCACACTAAAACGATAATGTGTTTATATCATAAATTTTAGATCAGTAGAAGGTCAGCACTGAATGTTTGTCAGATGAATGAAGAAATGATGTGTTCCATAATGGTGAGCATTTGTAAATTCCTATGGTGCCCATTAAAGTAAGAGTATCTGTACCCAACTCTAAGAAATTTATTCAGTAGGTCTTAGGAAGAACAGAAGTAGGTGTCTATACTTTTGAAGGTTTCAGAACTACTCTAGATAGACTATTCTGTCAGTTTTAGAAACCAGAGTGTCTTGACCCTAATTTAACGTTAATTCTAATTATGACTAGATTTTTCATGTGGTTGTAGACTTATAAAGGTGTCAGGTTAATGTGAGCGTTGGAAATAGGGTTAACTTAAGTCACAGCTGGGACTCACAACAGCCTCTCCTGGGGCTGCTGGTATACCACAGAGCTGCGAAGGAGCAGGAGGGTATCTGCAGTGGTCATGTGTTGTAAATTTCAAGTCATTTGGGCAGTGTAGCAAAGTTGAAAGGTCATGATGAATCTAACCATGGGCCACACATATCTGAGAGTAACATGGTATTTAAGAAAAAATGCTTATAGGCATTGTTACTTTTCAAGTGTTTTAGGAATACTATTTAATGAACATACTACTTCTCTGAAATGTCAAATATTTCAAGTGGTACAGTAGATTTTCTAAGGGTCTTCCTGGATCTTCCAATTTTGTCTTTAACCATCTGCTTATTTTCACTATTAGTGATCAGTTAATGCAATGTAAACTGGCAAGAAGCATTCATAAGATGAGAAAGAATTTCCTGGAAAGGGATAGTAATATTGACACTAAAATAAAATATTTCACCCCAAGGGTAAATGTGAAATCGTTAAAAGTTTTTTTCCTCCCTTCCAGCTACTGACTTGGGAAAAAGTTTATATTTCAAGAGTTGAGCAAATAGAAGTAGTGTGTTTTCTTTAGGTATTAAAAATAATTTAATAAAAAGGAAGACTCAGAAGATCACTTTTTATTCAATAAGGCGGCGCTATGTGTGTGTACACACACACACACACACACACACACATATAATCTCAGCCTGTGTTTCATTGGTAGCAAATAGAAAATATATAGCAAATATAAAATAATTCCTGATATCAGATTGTTTATAATCTAGACAGGAGATCAGCCATATCTATACATAATTAACACATCACTAATAGCATCTAAATTGATGCTGTTTTAAAGTTTTTGTGATATAACACGAGACCAGACCTGTGTTAACATTGAAGAGGCAGGATTTTTAGAATCTGGTAAACCTGTATTTAAATCCTGACTCTTACACCTTGGGTAAGTGTGTGCATTTCTGAGTCTCATTTACTGCTTTCCAATTTGTGGAATAGTTAAGTAAGGTTCATATATAATTTTTTTTAACCATAGTTATTATCACATAAACTCTTCAGGCCTCCACTTCCTCATCTGCATATTGACTGTCCTACTAAGCTTTGTGAATGATTATAAGAAATAAATAAGTGATTGAATAGTCCCAGGGACACAGTAAATGCCTGCTATATAGTAGCTATTAGTAGTTATAGTGACGATATTTGGACACCATATGTTTCCATCTTTAGCCTAAAACTGATTTCACTAACTCAAACAACATGAGTGACCATTGAATGCAGTGAATACAGATAATGAAACTTTCTCAGGAACTGTGAGGCAAGTATCTTGACCTACGTCAGCAATAGTAGGTTGTTTAACTACCAGCTGTGCTATGACCAAACTCTGTGACCTTGGACAAATAAATCCCTGAACCATTCTGGGATGCCATGACTGGTTTTTAAAACGAGGAACAAAGATGTGTGATCAATAGTTCTTAATCTAAGAACCCTAAACTTCAAACCCTTGCAAGAGAAACTCCCAATTGTGTCCATGTGTGCTTTATATGCATTTCTGAGAAGAGGGAGAACACATCTGCTTCCTAGAAAAGGCTGATAGTCCCCCTCCCAAAACAACAAAAAAAAGAGGTTAAGAACTACTAAATTAGATAACTACAGAGGTCCTCTTTAACTCCATAATGACACTTTTTCAAGGTACACCTTTTGAAATAATTTTGGAAATTATTGAAAATAATGCCACAAATGTAAGCTGCAAGGAATCTGCTTTGTAGACAGAATCCTGGTGTACCTTCTATTTGAGGGAAAGAAAGTTGGTTAGCCAGTCTGGTGTACCTCATGCCCACAAAATTTTCCTCAAGTGTCATTCCTTGCAGTCTTATCCAAGTCAGCCTTTCCATTAGGTGTCAACCCACACAGTGCCCAAGAACCCTAAGTTTATTTGCTTAGGGTGATTCTCAGTCACTGGAGCACATGATATATGGCTGTGCTGAATTTTTTTTTTTTTTTTAATTTCTTCTCGGACACTTTGTCCTGCCCTACCATCCCCATGGTTTTCATTTGAAATCCTTCTGGCATGTTTACTCAGCATAATGGTTCATCTATTTACAGAACATTTGCTTTGTTTCTAAAAAAAATGTTGCAAGACTTGTTTTAAATGGCAAACTCAGACCTACCTAAAGAAAGGGTCAAGTGTCTGGGAAGAGGAAGAATCAAACTTTAAGACTATGTACCTGGAGCACAGTGAGGCTGCAGCTTTGAATGGCTGTGTTAATGGCAGGAGTACAAATATTGAAATAGTTCAAATTGTTTACCCCTCTTCTTCCTACTGTCTTTTCATTCGTGATCATTTTTCTTTGGGGGAGAGGGATGGAATTAAATGTGACTTAAGTTTTTTGAAAAATTATTTTATCTTTTTCATGGCTATTATGTAATTACAGGGCATATTGCCTCCCTGCCCCATTATGTAATGATGACGTTACTGTCTTTCCAAGATTAGTAGGCAATGGAACTGAATTAAATTCAGGAATTGTATATTTTCCTTGGTCTGCTGGTAGTATTTTAAGTAGGTTTATTAATACTTGACTTTGGAATTCAATGTAATGAGAGGTTATAAAAATAGACAAATGTCTATACTTGAATAATTTTGATACATTTTTACTTTAGAACTGGTTTTGCTTCTTCAAATGCAGTGTTCTTCAACTGACTTACCTCTGCTTTGAAATGGAAAGATTGGAATCTCTGTATCTGATACCTAAGCTCATCTCCTCTCTAAACCCTAGAAGAACAGTGGTTCAATAGGTGGATTGTCTTTTGCATTTATTTTTTATTAGTTTGCAATATTTAGCACTTAACTTCTGCTCCTGTGGAAATTTTGTCTGCTTCAAGCTAACGTCAGGGCTTTTAATATTTAAAGAAAGGACAGAATTATAGTCAAGTAATATTCATAAAAACTGATAAGTATGTATTCTGAACTTCTTAATAGCTGTAGAACCAAGCATGTCAGTCTTACCTTGAAGAAAAGGTAATCGTCCTTGGTGGGATCAAGCCCTTAGATAATTTATCTCCTGTTCCTTGACTTTTTAAAGCACTGATTGATGTGGAGTTAATGTCCAGACACCATGGAGTTAATGTCCAGACACCTATAATTCTTAATCTGGAAGTAATTTTTTACCCCTATTTTATTGGTTAGGAAACTGAAGTCTAATGATAGTAGGTAAACTACCCCCTCATCTGGAAATGGGGCAAGATGTCCCTGGAGCACAAGAGCGCAGGTCATAGTTTATGAGTTCATATTTTAAGATGTGCATGCAACTGCAGTTTACAAATTATCATTATAACCTCTTGAGTTTTATTTCCTCAATAGTAGTCAAATGGTCTTAGGGTTAGGACATGCTTACTGTAGAAGTTCATTGGCATCATCATCAGGTGTAACTATAAAATAGACAAAATATTTTAAATCTCTTCTGTTTGAGACAGAGGTCATCTAACTTTAGTTAGGTAGTCTCCACTGACAAGAGTGGCCCAGAAAAGACTTGTGACAAGATCATCATAATTTTTTTAATCACTAATGAGTTATTAAGAATTCTAGAGGGAATTGACCTTTAGTTAAATTTTTAGTTGCTATTGACAGGAAATAACTTGTAAGGTGGGGGGAAAAAGAACTTTTCCTGTGTTTTTTCTGAGAACTGAACAACGAACATCACACTTTGCACTTGTATGCCCATGAACTGTGATATTTAACTAGAAACTTAGAGTTCATATTTCCCCCCTACAACAGTGAGTCTTAAACTTCTTGGGTCTGATAACATTCTGAACCCTGTGGACTTACCCCAGAAAGGTGCACAATGTGCAGCATTTTATGCACGGTGTCAGAGAGTTTACTGCAGTTTTTAAAACCTTGAGGTAAAGTAACAGTGGTTTACAACACTATAATTATAGGGTTCAGAGATACAGGCTCACACCTCTTCAGCCACATGTCACTATACCACACCCACCAGCAAGGCAGGTACCTAGGATTTGGGAGATGACAATGGAGATAAGTTATGTCTCACCAAGGCTGTCCAGGCAGCCACCGATTCTAGGAGATTGCAGTGGCATTTCAATCTTGAGACCCGCAGGTTTTACGTCAGTGGTCTAGCAAAGAGACGTCAGTGTTCTGAGTTCTTTTTCTTCCAGTCCAAATTCCTGCAGCTTGTGGTTTGCAGCCGGGGTCTGTTTGGCTTGCAGAGACTTCTTGGCTGAGTTTTCCAGCATTTCCGCCTGCTGGTTCCCTTAAGAGATTTTTTCTTTCCAGTGTCACTGAGTATGGTCAGTCCTTAAGAGATCCAAAAGTGATAGCAAATGGACCCTGTCATCAAGTGACTGGTGTCTTATTGTTTCCAGTTTAGCACATTTTATGATCTGATGTAGTATTGACATCCTTGGATTCCAAACCATAGAGCTCATTGGAATCATTTGGCCTTTGGTAAAATTTTCCATTAATTAGGTTCTATTCCATTTTTTAACCCTGAATATGTTTTACTAAAATTGATTTGTTTTCAAATGCTTGTCACCTTGGTTACTTGTCCATTTAACCCTACCAACAGGATACATCTTTGGAATACAAACCATGGTCCAGCCTTTTCAGCTTCCACTCTCTGTGTAAATATTTAACACACATTCAGCAGTTTGCTAGTGGTCTTCTAAAATGCCCCTGCTTCTGTTCCCTCTTAGCGCTAATCCATCCTTCCAGCTAACCTTCCCGAATTTACCATGATGTTCCCCAGCTTAAACAGACTTAGGGTAGCACCACGGCTTTCAAGAGATATTTCAGGAAGACTGAATGTTTAGTAGTTATCTAGAGCACGGTCTTCATTTTACAGAGAAGCAACAGGAGCCCTATAGAAATGATGTGATGCAGCTGAGGCGGAAGTGATCGCTGTAGGGTTCTGATGTAGGACTGGTCCCACTGACTGTGACCGCCTCCACTGGGCCACTATCACCCTCTGACATGGCTTTCCCATCATTTCTTCTTACCTACAAGACCTAGATTTATCTGTCCCTGGTCTCTGAAACACACCCTGTGCTTTCCCAAGTTGGTTTCACTTATGATCTCAGCTGCAGCTGATTAAGTAACTCGCCTAAGATCTTTGAGTTAATTGTCCAGGCCTGGACCCAACCCAAGCAATCTGTTCCCAAACATGTGCTGTGAACTCCTACATGGAACGTAACTTCCCCTCACTAATCACTTCTAAGTGCCCGGCCAAAAACTTCTAGTCTGTCACTTTCCATAGTGATCAGTGTACAGCAAAAAAGCCAAATTCATCACAAGGTAACCTGTGTGTTCTGAATCCTGCTGAATATGCTGTAAATGCTTAGAAAGTCGTAACTCATCAAACCATAACAACCTACAACTTGACTTCCTAACTTCTCTTCCAAATGAAACTGGAAAGGAACCAGTACAAGATAGGAAAGTAATAAAGAGGAGACCGCTCTTATAACTGCCGAGACCAGCACCCACAGCCAGGGTTTGCATCTTCACCAGGATACCTGAGGCCTCAAGTAGCTGGTTGACTTCTCTGGACCTCCATGTCTTTATCTGAACAATAGACTGTATATTCATCTGTGTAAATAGAAATACATATATGTGTGCATATATGTGTAAAATAACATAAGTTGCGGTACAGTGTCTCTGAAAAGCTTGTAAGTTACAAAATACTTTTCAAAAATAGCTCTTTAAATAGCTTTTGATAGGTTTAAAAGGCTAAGTCTCAGTACATCTTCTTAATGCTGTACATTAGTTAATGTTTAATGTACAATAACTTTATACACCCTCCAGGGGATAAGTTATAAAGATTTTAGTTTGTTGGTTTCTTTGAGTTTTTTACTGAGGTAACATCAGGTGTCCAGCGTAATGATTTGATGTATAACTATATTGTAAAATGATTACAATAAATCTAGGGTAACCAGTGAAGTCTAGTGACTATGAATTTAAATGCAGAGTTGGCTGCCATATCCCTTCTATTTTTTCTGCTCTCTATCCAACTCCTTGATTTTCTGAGTAATTTGGTTAGTGACTGATAATGCAAATTGTGATAATGCAAATTGTGTTTGGGAAGGGGTCAAGCAGCTCATGTTCAGAACGCCTGCCCTTTCTTGCCCTGTTTCTCCACCTGCAATGGTTTTAATTTACATAGTTTGTTTCTAACAAACTAGACTGTTGCTGCTCCATCCTAGATGCCAGATTTTATTCCTACAATGGTATCACTGCAGTCTTTGCCTCTAGGGCTTCCATAAAATAACCAGGTCATCTGTTTTTCAAAGATGGAGATAACCATCCAAAAGATAATTGCAGGAGAGTGGTAGGAAGGCTGACAAAAAGAAAGTGTAAAAAAGGAAGAACATGACCTTTAAGTTAAAATTTTTAAATGTTGCCTTCTGTGGCAGCACACGTTACCAATTTTCAATTGGTGGGGAGGTTTCTTCTTTATTGGGGGTGGCATGGGGGATGGTGGTGAGCCTCACATATGGGGAACCCTTCAGGACAAGTAGGAGGCATAGGAAACTCTGACATCAGAAACATGTGTTCTCAGTGCAGACTTCACACCTACTAGCTGTGTGACATTAGTCATGCTATTTGACCTCTTGGAACCTTGGTTGTGATCATGTAACACTAGTGCTTAGTGAGCACAGTTCCTGGCACATAGTAAACATTCAGCAAATGTTTAAACTCAAGCGGAGATGACTGTGAGGTCACAGCACTGGAGTAGAATGACAGTGAGCATGATGGGATCAGTTCTGACCCTGCTCCCCTTTGACTACACAGCCCTTGGTCTCACCAAATTATCCTCACATTCTAGAAGCTATAACAAGGCTAAGAAGAAACATGTGGATTGTGTTAAGGACATTCGGCAGAGTTGACATGGTCTAGCAAACATACACAGACCCCAGCTTACGAGGGGTAACGGCCAAGTTTTTAAGAGAAGTTAAAAAAAAATAAGCCTGCAAACAGGAAGCTACATTTTCATAGTGCACATTTTTTTAGGCTCCGTGGGCTAAGTTGGTTGTGGGCTGTTATTCAGCTGGAAACATTGTCAATGCTGAGGGTGGGCTACACCGGAAAGAAGTGCCTGGGAATCTGTAACCCACCAGGATCTATGCCTTGGAAGCTAGTGAAGCATCTGGGTCATTTATGATGTGTTTGACACATTCGCTTACCTCACTCTTTAAATGACTGAAATGGGTACTTTTATTTCCCTTTAACAGATGAGGAGGAGATCAAAGTACAGAATTGAAATTTGCTCCAATTTAGAAATTTGTTCAAGTGAAAGACTGATAGAAATGTTTCAAGGCTTTTTATTTTTTTTTTTGAACTGTCCTGAAAAGAATATAGCTTAACTTTTCAAGGAACTTAAATGATCAGTGCTACCTAGCTAAGTGGATTAAGTTATATTACAGAAATAAGTCTTTAGCACTTGCACCTGAGAAGTAGTGGTGGTCTTTCTAGATCTCACTGACATTTATTCTAGGATCAATAGAGTATAGCAGGTCTTAACCTTCAGCAATCATTGGAATCATCTGGAAGACTTCTTTAAGCAGTAGGTCAGTTGTAGCCCAAGGAATGCACTTCTAACAGGGGCTTCCTGCAGAAGCCCACAAGGTATTTTGGCAACTGCTGACAAGAAAATTGTTTTGTATTCCTAATTATATGGTGGGATAAGTAGGAAAATAGTCCTGAAAGTGAAGTCCAAAACCTTAGGTGGGAATGGAAATTTAGGTGGTGTTTCCAGAACTGAGTAGTTTATACTTAACCACCTGGAACTGAATTTGTGGTCCAAATATATGTATTATCACTTTAATTTTTGAGACTGCTTTTGATTACAAGAGAATCAAGACTGAAAAATCACTGTATAGAAATATTGAGATTCAGTGATGACTTAAACAAAAGAAAAGTTTCGTGGACATGTATGGATTTTCTCATAATCATTTTCCTTTCATTTTTTGGTCTCTGTAGGTGGCAAATCTTCCAAAGGACTACATGATATCCCTCAAATATGTCCCCGGGATGGAGGTGTTGGTATGTAGCTGTCCATTTCTGAGTTTCATTTTAGTAACTTGAAAGCTTGGGACCATTTGTACTTGGGATAGGAAATGATCTCCTATTTAGGGAGTTGTTTATTTAGCAGTATTTGAGGAAGGTAGATGTCTTTGGAATTTGACTTGAATGGAAGTATTTTTTCCTCATCCAAATACTAAACTTAAGTATTTGAAGCTGGTGAGTATTTCAGAACACGTGTCTTAGAAATGCCCTCCCCAAGAAAATGAGATCATCCTTAGAACCAGCAATAAACATCTTTTAGCCCCTTCCAAAAAATACTTGAATAAAATTATATAAATTGTTTTTCATATGTGAAAAGGTAATGTCTCTTTCCTATATAATTTGTGAAATGTTTTACTACTAAGTTTATTAGCAATTCTATAGACTCTTAAAACCTTGCAGTAGAAATACTGAGTTGTGAGTTGAATTGGTAAGGCCTTTCCTTTCACTACAAACTCTGCTTTTGAACATACTGGTTTTATTTTGCCTGTTCACATATTTTATGTCGATGCTACTGTATTTTACATAGCACGTTGCCACTTTTTCATAGGCCATGGACATGTGCTATAGCATGTCCATCATTTTACCTACTTACTGTATTGTTTTCCTTGAAACCATTGGGGATTACTCTGCAGGTCGCATGTTTCTGTAGTTTACCAAATGCTCATTACACATCCACCTTATACAAATTGTTTAGGCTTTGAGAAATGTCTGTGGATAAATCAATCAAAATTATTTCCAATTTGAGTTTGCAAAGCACATAGCTCAGTACTTGTGCTTCAGCGTTTCAAAGACTACCAAAGGTGTCATTTCAAGAGAATTTCAAAGACATATTTCTTTTCATTAGTGAAGGAAGCACGTTAGCATGAACTCCCTAAAGGTCCTTAAAACAAACTCCTTGGAAAAAACAAACTCCTTGGAATGTGTATCTTTATGTTGAACCAGTTATCATCAAGCCAAGATCAATGTCCTATTGAATTAAGGGGCAAGAAATAGGAGTGTAAATTTATAAGCGGAATGTTAATTAATCTGATCATCTGCTCAATTAGCAATTATTTGTTTAGAAAAACTTTTGGAGCCAGCACTTTGTCAGACATTTTAAGAAAAAACACACCAATTAGCCATACATTCAAAAACTTCAATAACCAGGGGAATATGCTGGCTATTCTATAACAGTCCTTGAGTGATTAGCAATACCCTGTGAAAAGGCAGGTTAACTCTGATTCCTACTTTACAAATGACACTGTGTAGTGTACAACCCAAAGTATTTTGCCCAAGATTCTACTAGGAAGTGAGAGTATCTAACTACAATGGCAAGGAAAGCTTTCTAGTCTTCTATGGGAAAGCATCTAAGTAATAAAAGTCCTATCCTGATTGTAGAAGCTTTTAGGCCTGGGATTGCCAAAATTTAATCAAAGAAATCATGCTGCTCTTTGAAACACAAGTGCTAAACTTAAAATAACAGAAAGGTCACTTTGTGCTTGTAGAATCAGATTTTGCTCTGTCATAGGTTTTAGTATTACAGTGATAGCAAGGGCCACCCTTTGAAAACTATGACTGATGCATGGCCATATTTTTTTCATTGTTTCTGTAATTGAGAAAAGTCCACTATTATTTGATCTTGGCACCCAGTCCTGGCACAACTGGAGAAATTCTGTTCTTGGCTACCACACTTGGCAGAAAAACAAGTCAGTGCACAGGGCTTTGGGCAGAAACGGGGGTCGAGTGCTTTTGTTTTACCTTCATTTTGAACTGGTAGCTTCTGCCAAAACCTGAGGAATTTCCCAGGGGAGCAGCTCCTGATTATTTGTCAGTGGTCAGAGCCCCAGCTGCCTCATCTTTTGTCTTTAAACAACAGAGGGTGGAATGGGAGCCAGTGTGGGTACCAGAAGATTCTCTGGGGCCAAAGCCATAAAATTGTCCCTATGGCACTGGGCAGAAGAAAGTTCTCAAAGAGAACACACACTTTATTTTTATTTTATTGCTTTGTTTTAAACAGCAGCTAAGTACTCCTGAAAAGTGGAGGCTTCTTTTCTAAGGGAAGTCTTCCAGAACTACCTTGCAGATCCCTTCTCACAAATAGCAGGGTGTGGTAGACCAGTTAGTATTTGAATTGAAGAGTAATTACCCGTTCCATTCTAAACTCACTGAAACTGTAATATTGCCAGACAGTTAAGATTTCTTCTGACCTTAAAAAATACCTAAATGTTTCTGATCCTTTCCATTACTGGTAATATTACTGTAAAAGTACATTGAGTTGTTTTGTGCTACATATTGATAGTTACTCTGATATCTATAAAATATGAACCATGAGTTACTTGTGTTTGAGTAAAAAATTCTTCATCAGTGTTTAATCAAAATAAGCTATTGATATATATAAATTTTAGCTTTTTACTTGGAAGTAATTGCAAATACAGTGAAGTTGTAGGAATATTTGAAGAATACCTGCATACATTTTAGTTCAGATTAACACTGATTTTTAATACTCTTGCTTCATTTGTTTGACTAAGTACTTGCTTTCTGTGAATGCTTGTGTGTTAGAATTTTTCTGAACCTAGTAGGTTGTATAAATCATGGCTGTTTACCCCTAAATACTTGAGTATTTCCTCAGTAAAGGATTTTTCTCTTACATGACCTCTGTGTCATTGCCAGCCCCTATAAATTTAGCAATATCTAAATACTTAAATCTACTGGGTTGATGGCAACTATTGAAAAAAATTTTTTTGGCCTTTTCCCCTCAACTTAGGATCTCTATTTGCATTTTGATATCATGAGTTGTAGGTAGAGTAAGTGGCTAATCCCAGATGTCTCTAATATTTATAACATCATATAAACCGTGACTAACCCCTACTGTGAGTGCATTACCTTACAGGGCAAAAGGGACTGACAGGAGTCAGTAAATTAAGGGTTTTGATAATGTAAGAGAGGAGACTTTTAGAATCAGTGGTTTTATTACAGAGCAACCTGGCTGCTTAAATCTACTCTAAGTTCCCAGCAATCCTCCCTTCAGTGGTAATGGCATTATGGGATTTGTAGTCCTGTGTGTCCTGAACCTCTTTGGTCTGGGGTGGAGGTGAGGTCCAGAAAACAAAATGTGGAGTTTGTTCGGTACATTCTTTCCCCCCAACAATTACAAGATGTTAGATTACTGGCTTTGAAGATGGAGGGAAGGGGTTACAAAGTAAGGCGTGCAGGCAGTCATTGAAAGCTTGAAAAGGAACTGCTAGAAGAAACAACAGTATACAGGGACAGCTTGATTTCTGCCTATTAATACCTACCTATTTTGGATTTCTGACACCAAGCACTGTAAAATGATAAACCTGCTCTTTTAAATCCACTAAGTTTCTGAAAGGCTGAGTTCCTCAACCTTTATTTGCCTTTATGACATTGACAATTTTTAATAATTCAGCGCACTTCCCTTTAAGAAAAAGTTTCTCTTTGGAACATTTGATTGGTGTTTTCTTGATTACACTCAAAACATGCATTCCAAGCTAGAATGCTACATCCTGAAGTCACATCACCCCTTCCCTGAGGAGAGGGGCAGTGTCCATGCTCCCCTCATGGTACATCTGTGTGCGCCCTTGGTTAAGCAGTGCAGCTGCTTTTGCCCATTAATTCATTAGCAGCTCACTAGGAATCTCTGGGGGCAAACTTTAAAGACCATTTTAATACCTCTCACCCAAATTCCTCCAGTTGATTCCTTGTTGATTCATGATAACCATTCTGTGCTGTCATGTTTGTTTTTGATTGAGCAGTTTTGCTCCACAGGGAGGAGGCAGTGCTACTCCAGGCCCCCTTTCCCAGCATCATCCGTCCCTGAATATGTGGGAGCGCCCTCTGGGCTAGTCCACCACCTTCGCCCCACCCTGCTTCCCACCCTCTCGCCATGCAGGCTTTATTTAAGGTTTTGACTCTTCTTGACTAGATTGTGATTAAAAACAAAACACAAGTACAGCCTATTGTCCATATTCTTTTTTTTTTAAGATTTATTTATGCATACTGAACTGGGGTACAGGCCAGAGTTGCAGGGGTAGTGAGAGGATTCACCAGAGGGGGGGGCAGAACAGGCAGATCAACGAAGTACACTGCTGGGGGGAGCAGCGGGCGGGTCAGGAGAGGTCCGCCGCACCATGTGGATCACTTCTGGGGCAGGCAGGGATCGAACTCATTTTGAAGTGGCTTTAGCATCTCAGGCTGTGCTTGAACCTACTGCGCCACCAGGGAGGGCCTCATCCGTATTCTTATTCACATATCTTGAAGAGCTACCTGTCCCTCTTAGGAAACAGGAGAAGAATCTCTTTAAGGCTGCCAAGATTGGAGGCCAGGACCTGTGCCTCTTCCTCCATGCTCCCTTCTGTTATTGTTCTTTGCAGGTGGCTTTCTTGGGAATGCCAGAAATGCCAGTCGGCCCTTTGTTTGGGTAACTCCTGATTATTTGGTGTCAGTTTTCATCCTTTTCAGAAAGTTGGTCTCCTCATTGACAAAACTAGCTCCTCTCCTATTGGAAGCTCTTTTCATGGAACTCAGAGTGGGAGTTTTCCATTTATTTGTAGAATTATTGATTACCTTCTAGTAACCAGTAAACATCGGGCAGGAATTGTGTGTTTTTGTGCTCTCAGAGCCTCAGTGCCTAATGGATGATACACACTTAAAAATTAACTGCTGGGGCCTCCCTGGTGGTGCAGTGGGTTGGAGCGCTACAGTGCGAAGCTAAGCCAAGCCATGGCCCTTCAGTGCAAGTTTGATCCCGGCTCCGAGGTGATCCACATCCATCTCTCCTGACCCGCCCGCTGCTCCCCTCAGCTGTGTACTTTGTCTATCTGCCTATTCTGTTCCCCATTGTCTCTGGTGAATCCTCTCGCCAACCCTGCACCTCTGGCCTGTACCCCAGTTCTGCATGCACAAATAAATAAAATCTTTAAAAAAAAATTAACTGCTGGAAGAAAGCAAAGCAAGGAGAAAAGTTCTCCACATGCGAT